GTGTGAGTGTGTGTGTGTGTGTGTGTGTGTGTGTGTGTGTGTGAGAGAGAGAGTGTGAGTGTGTGTGTGTGTAAGCCTGTGTGTGTGTGTGTGTGTCTCACCTGTACAGCCGGTTGTCCCTTTCCTGACAGAGAAGCCGAGGTCACAGTGACAGATGAACGAGCCCTTGGTGTTTTCACACTTCCCGCTTAGACAGATGTTTGGATTCAGCTCACATTCATTCACATCTGACACACACACACACACACACACACACACACAAAGAATAAAGTTACACAAAAAAAAAAAGAAGAGACATTTGACATTTAACATAATACTGCGTAAGTACCTTATTTCTAGTTTTAACGTGAAATAAGCATGAATTAACATCTCATGCCTCATGTAATCGCACCATCAGTGTTTCACTCGCGGAAAGATGTGATTAAAACAGCTTGTAAACAAAACGTCACGTAGGCAAGTCATCAGTGTCCACAGCTCGCTATTTGCTAGAGAAATAAAGTCTAGAGAAGAGCCTTTCGTGAAATATTAGACTACATAGCTACTCATTATATTTTACTTGATTTCTTAATCATTTAATGTATATTTAAATAAATCTTTAATGAAACAAGTTATGACGGCCACTGTGTAAACGATAATATTTCAACAACAAATAGAAATTGTATAATTTAGAAGTTAATTTAAAAACTGCATGGAGTGCAATTTACATGTTTGCATACAATTTTTTATTTATTTGAGTGGTTATTATAGTTTAAAATAAATAGTAATTAAATTTAAGTTTGGACTCTGTTGTTAATTCTAATCTTATAGTAATGTAAAAGGGCTCCCTATAGTTTAGAGCAGAAGCTGAGATAGATTTTTATAGATTTTTTCTGAATTTGTTCAGTAAAACATTGTTTAATTGAAAAAAAAAAAGATTTACAGTATATACAGTATATATATTTTTTCAATTTCCATTGTTTCATTAATTTTTAGTAAGTGAAGAATTTTAAAGTAAAAACAAAACATTTTATTGTTTCCTTTTTAAAACTAATTACATTTTAGTGTTTTATGTCAATGTTTTTTTTTTGTTTGTTTGTTTTTACATTTTTTTAATGATTTAATACATTTTATTTAGACTTTTTATTTTAAACTGATTTATTCACTTAACATTTTTATGATGCAACTAATTATTAATTTCATCAGCTCAGTTTGGGAAGGCCTGTGTTATGGTGTGCATACAGTGCTCCAGTCTATTTCAGACACAGTACATGTTCAAATAACCATGCTAGCATTTGTGTGATGAATGCTGATGCTCTCCTGTCCTCAGCCTCATTATGAAAGAATGAATGAATGAGTGAAAGAGTGTGTGATTTACCCAGACATGATTTCATATCCTCAGACGACATGTAGCCGTCGAAACACAGGCACTGGAATTCCCCGGGGATGTTGGTGCACTGACCGCCGTGACAGATGTCAGGACTGTCCTCACACTCATCGATATCTACACACACACACACCAGAGGCCAGAGGTCAGAGGTCAGCACAGCTTGAGTGTGTGTGTGTGTGTGTGTGCATGTACTGTGCAGTGTGTGTGACCTGTGCAGCTCCTGAGGTCGGGCATGAGGGCGTAACCACGGCGACAGCTGCACTCATAACTTCCCTCTGAATTGGTGCAGAACGTCTCACAGCCACCGTTCTCAATGGTGCATTCATCGATATCTGAAACACACACACACACACACACACACACACACACACACATGTCACTGACTGCGTTTACATGCATCAGATTCTGTTTAAAGTCCATACTTGGCCCCTCAGTAATAATATGCATCCAGACGTGGGAATATTCCAGTATATGGCTGCTGTATGTTGATCTGCATGTGTTTCCTTTCCTGGGAGATTCCCAATGCTGCCACTGGTTATATACTGTATATACACTACCGCTCAAAAGTGTGGGATCAGTAAGAGTTGTAATGTGTTTTAAAGAAGTCTCTTCTGCACATCAAGGCTGCATTTATTTGATCAAAAATACAGAAAAACAGTAATCTCGCAAAATGTTATTACAATATAAAATAATGGTTTCTATTTTAATATCCTTTCAAATATAATGTATTTCTGTGATGCGCAGCTGTATTTCCAGCATCATTACTCCAGTCTTCAGTGTCACATGATCTTCAGAAATCAGTATAATATGCTGATAATAATCAGTTGTGCTGCTTCATATTTTTTTGGAAACTGATACTTTTTTCAGGATTCTTTGATGAATAAAAAGTTACAAAAGAACAGCATTTATTCAAAATATAAATCTTTTCTAACAATATAAATCTTTGCTATCACTTCTTATCAATTTAACACATCCTCGCTGAATAAAAGTTTTAATTTCTTTCAAAAAAACAAAGAAAGAATAAAAATGTACTGACCCCAAACTTTTGAACACTAGTGTATATTGTTAGAAAATATTTCTATTTTAAATAAACGCTCTTCTTTTGAACTTTTTATTCATCAAAGAATCCTGAAAAAAGTATCACAGTTTCCAAAAAAATATGAAGCAGCACAACTGATAATAAATCAGCATATTATACTGATTTCTGAAGAACATGTGACACTGAAGACTGGAGGAATGATGCTGGAAATACAGCGCAGCATCACAGGAATAAATTATATTTTAATGTATATTAAAATAGAAAAACGTTATTTTATGTCATAATAATATTTCACAATATAACATTTTTTACATTTGATTTGATCAAATAAATGCAGCCTTGATGAGCAGAAGAACCTCCTGTAAAAACATTAAAAATCGTTCTGATCCCAAACTTTTGACCCGTAGTGTATGAGGTTGCATGACCATTTTTAATTTTCCTTATTTATGCAATGATTATCTATATGTATCTTTATTCATACGATTTCTGAGAGGAGTATCTTTTCTCCGTTCGTTTCTCGTGAGAATAATTGCGCATCCGACTGCGCACGATCCCGATACATACACATACTGTAAACACAGAATTACACTATTTAAGCGTTCACACAAACATAATCTATTATGTCTTAAGTGAACGTTTGGGGAACTGTTGGGGAAAAACATCTGATGTGTAACATTATATTAGATCTGTGCAGTACAGTAGGTTTTAATATATAGTCCGTCTGTCTAAGAATAACAGAAAAGATCGCTGTATCGCTATAAAAAATATAAATAACTCATTTTTGAAAATTTGCTCATTATGACCAATTTTGCCAGCACAGGTCACATATTATTTTACTTGGTTTAATCACAGTGGCATCTTTTTGTCATGATGCACAACATATTTTGCGTTATATGGATGTTTACAGAAACCTCTGAGCTCTCTGAACATATAATGTACATATATAATAATTTTGCACATTATTGTTCCTTAGAATCCATATGTAATGATCAGGATCACTCAAAGATCCATTTTTAGGGCCGGTTTATAATGGGAAGGGTTCACGTCTCAGTAATAAATGTTCTTTAGGGAGTATTAATGTAAATATAGTGCACATACAGAACATTTCAGCTTCTAGACTTCTTCATTTTAGTTTACTGGGGTGAGAAAGTGAATATTTTTGGGCGAGCGTCCGTGTGTCTTACCGACGCAGGAGAGTCTGTCTTCGGTGGATTTGTAGCCGGTGTTGCAGGAGCACTGATAGCGTCCGATCATGTTCACACACTGACCGTTCCTGCACAGCTTGTCACTCAGTTCACACTCATTGATATCTGCAGAGAAAACACACAGTAAACACAACACTGAGCAAAAACTGTCAATTCAGGATGTGTACAAAATCCATCATCACATTAACATAAACACACTCTCTCTCACACACACACACACACTCTCTCTCTCTCACACACACTCTCACACACAGACACACTCACACACACACACACACTCTCTCACACTCACACACACACTCACACACACAGACACACTCACACACACACACACACAAAGACACACACACACACACACACACACTCTCACACTCACACACACACTCACACACACAGACACACTCACACACACACACACACAAAGACACACACACTCTCTCACACTCACACACACACTCATAGGTTGACTGAGTTTAGCGCGTGCACCACGACTATGAAAAGCCATGATCAATGGAGCTCCGATGTTACGATTCACCATGGCAACAGCTCCCGCCAAAAACACATCTGCATACTTCAGACAGAGTCAATACAAGTTTAATTCTAATCACTGTTATAATATAATATCACAGGTGAAAACTGGCAGAACGGTAGGTTATTGAACTAATAGGCTATTAATTTTCATGGTATCCCACAGGCAAAAAAATACATAAAATAATAATATTTAAGTGCATTTTTCTTATTTTACAAATGATCTGCCAATAGGGTAAGAAAACTACGGCAGCGGCTATTTACACTAAGTGGAATTAACACTTTTTTAGCGATAGATCCTATTTACAGTAGGCTAAGTGTAAATAGCTCTAGATGCTATTTACACTATAGTGAAAATAGTGATATATTCTATTTACCATGTAAAAGTAGCAGTTCTAAATAATAATTAGGATATGGCACATTAAAAAGTAACTCCCTACGAATTAATACAGCCTCCTCATCTACTGTATAAAAGGACATGCTATTTTTGTCACTTTGACGGTGTTTGGCAGGGGGAGGTGGGGGAAACAAAAAATAATCATGTTTACGTTTGCATTAATAAGATTTTTCTTACCCCATGGCGGATAATTTTACTTGTTTTAAGTAAAAGGCACTTAAATGCACTTGTTTCCCCCCAGGAAACAAGAATAAAAATATTAGGCTATATAATTTTTTCTTATATAGAAAATGCATCGTGATTTAATCATTTTTAGATATTTGTACTTGAAATACTCCATAAGAAAAGCATTTTTGCAGCGTAAATGAATGAATGAGGTATTTAAACATCGCTTGCGCTTTAAAAAGGGGGAGGAGACCGTAAGAAACTCTGGGTTTACCGAAGAAAACCTGCTAACCTGACCAGGTTAGGTTCATAGAGTAAGTTACCACAGTAACTGAAACTCATTTCAGAGTTAACATACTCAAGTTTTCACTAGGGATGGGTACCAAAACCCCGTATTTAATCGGTCCCAGGGCTAAATTATGAAAGACCGGAGTATCGATAAGCTCTGACGTTAACGGTTCTGCTATCGGTACTGGAAAAATTAATAAAACATACATTTATTATTGCTATACATACATTATACATATCTATTTTCCTGTTTAATACTGTAAAGTTGCTTTGACACAATCTGTATTGTTAAAAGCGCTATAAATAAAGGTGACTTGACTTGACACATCAGGACTCATTAGCGTTCACATGCATGTCTCTGAACCTCGTTTACGGCGTCTGAACTCACCTGTGCAGTTCCTTTCATCAAAGTCCAGAGCGAAGCCGCTGTCGCACCTGCAGCGGAAGCTACCGATGGTGTTCCTGCAGCGGCCGTTTGTGCACAAGCTGTGGATCATCTTACACTCGTTTATATCTGCAGAGAGACAGAACGATGATGAGTCAGGATAGCGACAGGTATGCGCTGTGTATTTTTTCCGCACCCATGTTAACAGATTAAAGCGTTCACACTGCACACGGTTGCGGTCTGCGCTGAATTAAAGTGACAGCGCATTGTTTGCGGTAAATATGAACATGGATTGACACGGAAATGTAGTAATTGCACCATTAATGGATATAATTAAAGTCTACTGTGTTTCACAGTCAACACATAGGTTATGGCTTTTTGGCTAGGTTTAAAGGAAAAGAGCACTTTTAGATAAACAAGGCAATAATAGATGGCACTCGTGGAGGTAAGAAAACAAAGTTCTTTATGAACCGTAGGACTGCTTGTAATAATATTTAAATGCTAAAGAAAAGGCAGTAAAGCTGACTGTTTCTGTCGATGGTAAGTTTGGTTACACTTTATTTTAAGGTGTCCTTTTTACAGTGTAATTATTCTATATACACGACATTCCCAATCATAGTTATTAATGTTGTGCACTGCTGTTTGAGCTGCGTGTGCTGAGCTAAAGATGATCACCGGTAAACTGAAGCGCTCTTTTAACTTAACCAAACGCATTCTATATGAGATAAATCAGATATACATCAAATAAACACAATATTACAATGTACAATTGCACAAAAGGCTGCAAACGAACAGCGCGCATCTGAAGTGTCTCTGAAGGAAATAATGCATTATTTATCGGCTTTAAGATATCGGCCAAATTTTCTTATCGGGCCGATACCGATAACAGAAAAAAATTAGCATTTATCGGCCGATACCGATATGGTGGCCGATATATCGTGCATCCCTACTATATATACATTATCTTGCAAATTCTATCTCACCAGAGTCTATTTTCCTGTTTAATACTGTACAGTTGCTTTGACACAATCTGTATTGTTAAAAGCGCTATATAAATAAAGGTGACTTGACTTGACACATCAGGACTCATTAGCGTTCACATGCATGTCTCTGAACCTCGTTTACGGCGTCTGAACTCACCTGTGCAGTTCCTTTCATCAAAGTCCAGAGCGAAGCCGCTGTCGCACCTGCAGCGGAAGCTACCGATGGTGTTCCTGCAGCGGCCGTTTGTGCACAAGCTGTGGATCATCTTACACTCGTTTATATCTGCAGAGAGACAGAATGATGATGAGTCAGGATAGCGACAGGTATGCACTGTGTTAACAGATTAAAGCGTTCACACTGCACACGGTTGCAGTCTGCGCTGAATTAAAGTGACAGCGCATTGTTTGCGGTAAATATGAACATGGATTGACACGGAAATGTAGTAATTGCACCATTAATGGATATAATTAAAGTCTACTGTGTTTCACAGTCAACACATAGGTTATGGCTTTTTGGCTAGGTTTAAAGGAAAAGAGCACTTTTAGATAAACAAGGCAATAATAGATGGCACTCGTGGAGGTAAGAAAACAAAGTTCTTTATGAACCGCAGGACTGCTTGTAATAATATTTAAATGCTAAAGGCAGTAAAGCTGACTGTTTCTGTCGATGGTAAGTTTGGTTACACTTTATTTTAAGGTGTCCTTGTTACAGTGTAATTATTCATTTAAGTACTGAGTAATATTAATTAGCTACATGTTCTTACTATATGGTTAGGGTTACTTGCATGTAATTATGCATCATTTATTGTTATT